CATTGTGCAGTCTAGAGGTTTTTGCGCGACACAAGGGACAATCAAAGCGAGTAGACACGAACAAGCGCAGACCTCTAGACTGCATCATGAACCAACTAGGCCAACAACAAGTTTTAATTGAACAACATTGTCGTATGTGGGTCATGGCTAAAGCCAATAGATGCCTGACGAGGCCATGCCACACCTTCGAATACAGCAGAATAACACCACACGTAAGAGAAATTGAAATAGACCATAAAAGAAATGGAAATAGCTCCACAACCAGAAGGCTTAAAAACGGTACAGTATTTTCTGAACTCCGGTCGACACCCAATGTATAATATGCAAAAACAAATTTATTAAAAAAAAGTATTATTATTAGATATTCTGCGCTGTGTGCGCGGACTATGCGCTGTGCGCATAGTCCGCACACAGTAAATAGCCCGCACTTAACACCTAACCTAGACTGCGCGGAAAAAAAAAAGTTCAGGCAGAGCACATCTTGACAAATTCCTGCTTTATTAACTCACAAAGAAGCGTGCATTATACATAAATTAATTATTAACATAGCCTGTCATTCACAAAATTCGTCACATCTCGTCATAATGAACGACCTTAAATGCATATTCTTACATAGTCCGCACTTCTGCCTAGTCCGCACCCTCTAAATTTTCTCTTTTTTAAATGTGTATAGTCCGAAGGCTACAGTCCGGAAAATACGGAAGTTTTCTCTGATACAATATTTTGTGGGAGTCACGTCCGTGCTTCATTATTCGCGTGAGCTTAAAAAAAAGAAAAAAAGAAATGTGGCGGAAGGGAAAAAGGAAAATGAAAGAAAAGTGCTATGACGTTTTGGTCGTCCAGTCAAATTGTCAACCCCGTCTTTTAAGTATACGAACAACAAATGCGGGCTTCTGCAAGTTTTCAGTACAGTAACTTATTTATTTTTTCTTACCTTGGAAGAGGGGTTTCTGATCTTCTTTGGGGGGCCAGATAAGAGATCTGTTGCTGTCTCAAGGGCCGGAACATAAATAACTAAATAAATAATCATATATAAGCATTTTTATACAAAATCGATAGTGGGAGTAAACATTTTGCAATAATAATATAAGATGGATGAATACATCTTCTTTATTTTAAAATCCAGTATTTAGTTTTAATTAGGACATTACACATAAATGGAACCCAGAAAACTCTCCATGCGTAATTCAAAGCGCACAGGAACTTTGGCATGTTTCCACAGGGCAAAAGACTAATGGAAATGATTGAACTGGCGCTGACAATATTCAATTGACACGACACAGAACATTAAGCACAATACGCGTGGGAACGCAAAATAATCTACACATAGGAGTTACGGAGACATGAAACAGGAAACTAGGAAGCGTGATGCTGGTGAGGACAATGTCGCATTAATAACATGGCGAGACGATACGCCTTACGATAGACAGTTTTCTCTCGTTTTTTTTGTTCTTCTGGTATCTTCGTTTAAGCGGTTGGGTGCGCGTTCCGTTGACGTTCAAATGCGAAAGCATTATAACTGTCCTATGGAGCGAAACCGGCGTTTTCTCTAACCACCTGGAGCAGCGAAACTGCAGTTAAATTCCCATTGGCCAAAAGCACGGCAACTCAGATGCTTCGTCACGGAAGTCGACGGGGCCCTGATGATCAAAGCGGACGCGCTTCAGAAAAACAAAACACAAAGAAAAGCGCAGCAACGCATATGCATCGTCACGGAAGGCGTTGGGACGGCGGGGTTCGCCGCGCCTGCGCACTAGAGGTCTGTGATGTCTCCGCAGGAGCGCCGTGTACGATAGGAAGACGTGGCGCGCTGCTTGTAGGAATGCGCTACGTGTAGGAATGCCTTGTAAGCAGTCTTAACTGTCTTCTTTAATATTTTTTTTTCGCCGGTAACAGCGGGTTTGTTGGAAGCGGGCTGTGGGCCGGCTTTATTGGAAGAACCGCGGCCAGCCACGGGCGGGTCGGAAGACCTCCGCGGGCCGAAGTTTGGAAGCCCCTGTCTTAGAACGAGATATTGCTCGATTCATTTTGAACCAAAATTTATGGACGCTTTTTTTTTAAAGTACTTTCAGTTGTAGCTGCATATGCCAGAGGATTTCAGTGCCTTTATTCTTTTCATTTTTAAGTTATCTCGCTGAATCGTTCTGGTTATTAGAAAGATAACTGTCTTTCTTGAGCCAAAGGGTTCATGTGTTCAAAGCACAAGCTTTCTGCGTGGTTACTTATCGCCAGGTTAATTTACTCGGCAACTTGGCGACGCACGGGAATGTTATCTAGCAACCACTTTTCTAATTTTAAGTGCCCTAAAACATACAAATATTTATTACTTTCGGACAGTATTTTTTTCTGGGGTATTTTAATTAAAAATAAGATGTTTCATGAGTAAATATTAAACAATTTCTAACGCCACTGAAACATTTTGAATAAAGACATGATTTCCGTAGGCAGGCGGTACGAGGAGCTCAAGTGGTCCTTCCAAATAAACGTAAATATTTCAACGACTAGGGTTTTGCCGCTCTAAAATTATGGCCAAAGAAAAACACTCTTTTTTAGTCTGACGTTTTTCTTGGGTTGGGGGAGCTGATGCATTCTAACTGATGTTCCAGTTCAACACACATCCCATGGTCGTTGCCATTTTAACATATTTTTGACGATATACTGGTTCTTGAAATATACGAAGCAATTGAGGTTTCCACTATTGACAGATTTTGTTTTGTTTTCTGATACCTTTCCGACCCGTTAATAAAGACGACGTTGGGGTGTTTTTGATTCATTTATATGTTTATGAACGTAATTCTTGACGCAGACTGTAGAGTTTAGAATCTCATGTAATATTCTTGTTTAACCAATCTCGCCTGCGTACACTCTTTTTTTTTTTACGGTATCGCGCTTTCCTCCAGATACTGCATATAAGTTATGTTCTCGCGGATAGTCGTACATTTGCACTTACAAAACTTAAAAAAATGTTCCGATGACTCCTAAATAAAGAAAATACACAAGTAATACACATGTCTCAATGTCAGATGCCCTTGCCGTTCCACTATTTACGTGCGTACATTCCATTCATATTTTCTGGGATGGAAATGAATGAAGCCTGATCTCCGCAAATAATTGAACGCCAATAACTCAACATTACTTCCCGGAATGGTGATGCCATAATAAGTAATTTTGTCCCACATTAGGCGAAGATTACTTTTTTAAATAATTATCTAACTGCTTTTCAGATAAATGAACAGTACGCGTCAATATGCTACTAGAAACGTGGTCCCTCAAGAACTGAAACTTAATTTAAACAACACAAACAACAATAAACAACAACAACAACAAAAAACAATAACAACGTTATCAGTTTTCACTTTCAGCACACCCCTCTCGTTCATAGGCATTATCGACCCAGGTTATCTCAGAAACTCAACACTAAAAGCCCACCACAGATGTTGTGTAATGCCATCTTGCTGTCGTGATGGGCATGATTAAACCCACAATAAAAAAAATAATAAAAAAATGCGTCGACAGCGGAACATGCATCCAATTCACAATAGATGAGAGCAAAAGAGTTTCGACGCGCTTTCGAAATTGCGACCACGTACTTAGCTGCGGCAGACGTGGATGCCGCGCCGTTGGCCTTCAGGCGCAAGGTTAGGGTGGAACGGGTGACGATATGCCTTGCCTGACCGCTGGCTTCTGGTTGCGGCCCCTTCCGTGAGGAGTAAGCGCGGATGCTCCGCAGTGGCCGCGCCAAGGCTCCCATACCGCCCACCGGACTCAGCGACGCTCTCTCCGTTCGCGCTGCCATATAAAAACGAACGGTACTGCCCGGTCCGGCAGGAAGTCGGTTGTGGGGTTGGATGGAACGTACAACCATGATCGGGGTAAGTATCTGGGCGCCTCGTGGATGCTGGGCAAACATTAGCGGCGCGCTAGGGTTCCCGGTTCGAATTCTCGAAAACTTCTTCGGGTGGGTGATGCTGGAGTATTGAGAGCATCTCAATTTTTGTTTTAGGCAAAATAGAAGCATAGTACTTTATGGATTTTTGTTGGTCTCGGCGCAGTTGTACTTTGAATGACGTGCTTCTTATCTTGTTGTTTTTAAGGAAAAGTAAACGAATGTCGAGCTGAGATGGCTCATATGCCAGTAGAACCAACCTTTACGTTTCCATTCTGTAATCCCCCCCTTTTCTTAAATTTTTCCAAAAAAAAAGGTGATTTTTATGGAACACCAAACTTGTCTTTTCTCACGCTCTTCTCATCCAGTCATTGACGAACTGGCGTCGATTTTTTGTTTTATTATTATTTAGTATACGGCCAAAGCCTGTGCTCCAGCGAGCGAATCGGAGCGTCGAAACAAATTGCATGACAACGTATCGTCAGTGTGCGCACCTCGTATACGAACGTGCACTCCGTCGTGTTTCACTTCGTCGTAGAAGCGTATGCACTTAGGCTAGTTCCGCGAAGATTCACTTCGTCGCTCTGATTGGCTCGAGAGAGCCGAAGAGTCCTCTCCTTGCCGAGTTATGCTGCGACGGATTATAATGTACAGTCAAGTTAGACCGGGCATTTCCAACATTTAATAATTGTTCTATGATCAATGACCGCTTAACAAACCCAGGACGTCACGAACCTCGAGCATGTTTTTATCAATCCAGAGCCGATGAAATTGCGGCATAAGTCAACAAAAACGTCACCAAACTAATCATGAAGCAAAAGTAGTGGGAGTAGGGAGCCGTGTCCTGCGTGACTCAAGCTGTCAGTGACCGTAAACGTTTTGCTCGATTACGCTAGTAGATATTGATTGCACCGTGGCGGCGATGGTAACAGAGGGACAGGCTTGGCGTTACTCGAATAAAAGTACCCTACTTACTACTTTAGTCCCCCAAAAAAAGTAATGCTCCCAGACAGTTGCCAGCTAATGTTCCCAGCACAAGACCTCCTAAACAACAATCTCAATACACGAGACGTCACAATATGTTGCCGATTATCTCTGGTTATCGGCCTTATAGATGATAGTGGACGTCATAAAGAACAACAACATACATGTAAGCAAAGAACCAGTGTTTGATTCACTTCTGCGTCATAAGAAAGACTAAAAAATATCCTAGAATGAAAAAAAGGTGTTGTTAATTATGACGACTTGGGTCCATTTGAGAGTGTTTCTATATTTTTATAGGTCATACTTAGCTTTTATATGGTTCCTTGGGGGGATGAAATGAAATCGCCTGGACTAGACCTGTTGTCTTCAAATTTACTGTGATAGCCAGTGTTAGTTCTAGCCCCCAAGTTTAAGTCCTCTAAAATTCAAACAACGTGCAATGTATCAACTCGCAAATGCCGTTTCAAACTGCAAGCGTTACAGAGTGTCTTAGTTAAATAAAAACTTCTCGCGTTCAGAAAGTGGTCTAGAGAAAAACAGAATGCGTGACAATAATGAAATTGTGATGGTCTCACACAAGCGTGGAAATTCTAATTGCCTACTCGGTCGATATTTCTTTTTACGCACATTGTTGTTAAACGTGTCAAAAAAAAAAAATAAGCGCCGACGTTTTTTTTTTGTTTATATATAATATGAAGTTTCAGCAGATCGTTCCTGCAGGTCCGATAGTGCTCCTGGCCCGCTTCCAATAGCATTAAAAAAGCGATATGCTAAAACTCCTCATTACCGTGCCTGCGCAATTTAAAGCATAGTGCACACTCACACGTCCTTGATAAAATTGTGTGCGACTTTACGTTTCTTTTTCAAATGTATTGCAGTCATGCGTGCCTACGCCATGGCTTGAGATATTATCTGAATGGATCTTGCTCACGAATTAACTACGGCCAATTTTTGGAGAGCTTTCAAGGCCAAACCGAGATGAAAGTTCTTTTTTCCCAGGTGCTGTCGCAGCTTTTCGAACCTAGTATTTTCTCCGTTATTTCGCACCTGTTTTATAGTTACCAAATGGACCCAAACTTTACAGTTTTCGTTGTGATCTGCTCCCTGTAGTTTAGTTCTTAGCTTATCTGTTCTGTCAAAATTGAATGACTTCGCAATACATATTTTTATTCTTCAAATATGTAAATAAATTAAGTGAGCAAAATATAGTAGCGTCTTTTATAAACGGAATATCAAGCTTATACATACTGTTCTCAATAAATTGCATGGCTTACTTGTACACCTGGTGAATGTTTCACAAAGAAGTAATTTCTCCTGCCGTGTTTTCTCAGTTGTTTTCAAATTATCCACTTAGAATATTAATTTCCCTTACAGTTCCGTGCTGCCTGGGCTTTGTCTCTTATTTGCTCCGTCCTTGGCGGCGCCTACCACGACCACGTGGGACTTAATGGTCTGAACAGCCTGAACTATGCCGCCGGTCTTAACACTGTCAGTTTCGGCATCGGTACCCCTGGTGTGACCACCGTTCACTCTGCTGCTCCGAATGTGGCTACGGTTCACACTACGTCCCAGGGCGTTGCTACAGTTCACGGTGAAAATTCAGCTGTGACAACCGTCCACACCACCCCAGCGGTGGCCTCCTACAACGTTGCCCCAGCCGTGTCTGCCGTGCATACGGCTCCTGTGACCACTGTGCACACCACTCCTGCTGTTGCAACCTACTCTCCCGCGGCAGTGTCTAAGGTCTCATCTACGACTTACCACACATCTCCGGCTGTGACTAAGGTGTACCAGTCTTCTCCCGCTGTGACTACCTACCAGACGGCCCCGGCGGTCGCAAAGGTGTCCACTTACCAGACCGGCCCAGCCTTTGCAGCATACCAGGCAGCCCCGGCAGTGACCACTGTTCAAGCTTCCCCAGCCATCGCCACTTTCCAGGCTTCCCCGGCGTTTGCCCGCGTGTATCAGGGAGGACCAACATTTGCCGCTGGCCCAGCATTCGCCGCTGGCCCAGCATTCGCCCGTCTTTATCAGCCAGCCGTTGGTAGATTTTACCAGAACTTCCAGCCTGCTCCAGCTTTCACCAACTTTGCTGCCTTCCAACCCGCTTCTGCCGTGACTGGCGTCTATCAGGCCGCTCCAGTTGTGGGTCAAGCGTCTGTTACTAAAGTGTCCAGCTACCAATCTGCCCCATCGGTCACTACAGTACACGCTGCTACCCCAGCTGTCGCCACTTACCAGTCCGCGCCTGCCGTCACCAAAGTCACCAAGGTCGATAGTTACCACTCCCAGCCCGTCGTCTCTAGTGTATACCAACCCGCCCCAGCTTTCTCTAGAGTTTACCAGGCTGGCCCGGCATTCTCCAGGGTTTACCAGGCCGCTCCTGCTGTAGGAACCTTCCAGGCGGGTCCCGCGGCAGTCACTAAGGTTGACACCGCCACATACCACGCTGGTTCCGCTTTTCCCGCTTACCAAGCAGCTCCAGCATTCAACAAATACGCCAGTGCCGCCTATCAAACCGGCCCCGCCGTCACTACTTACCAGTTTGCACCAGCGGTCACGAAATACGCCACCGCCAGCTATCAGGCCGGTCCCGCAGTTACCACTTACCAGACAGCTCCAGCTTTTGGCAAGATCGCTGCTTATCAAAATAGTCCAGCTATCACCACTTACCAGGCAGCCCCAGCTGTAACTACCGTTCACGAGACCGCCCCAGCCGTCACTACCGTTCACGAGACTTCTCCAGCCGTCACCACCTACCACACTTCTCCAGCAGTCACCAAGGTTACTAAGGTCGACACTGTCCAGTCTCACCCACCTGTTGCCCGCGTTTATCAAACCGGCCCGACTGTCTCCAACGTCTATCAGACTGGTCCAGGCGTGACCACGTTCCACTCTACTCCATCTGTTGCCGCTTACCAGTCTGCTCCTGCCGTCACCAAGGTCACCAACGTCGACACATACCATGCTACTCCAGCTGTGACCACCTATCAGGCTGGTCCAGCCGTGGCCACTTTCCAGTCAGCTCCGGCCGTTACCACTTACCAGTCTGCTCCCGCCGTCACTAAGGTTACCAATGTAGACACGTACCATGCTGCACCAGCCGTGGCAACTTACCAGGCTTCTCCAGCGGTGACTACTTACCAGGCGGATCCAGTGACCACCGTTCACACAACCGGCCCAGCTGTCACCTCATTCCACGGTGCTCCCGGCGCCGCATCTTACCAACCAGCCCAAGCCGTCACTAAAGTGACCAATGTAGACACTTACCACTCAGCTCCGACCGTCACTACTGTCTCCGGCGGTGCCCCAACGGTGACTGCGTACCAGTCTGCTCCAGCTGTCACCACTGTTCACGGTGGCGGTGCCACGGTGGCCAGCTACCAGGTATCCCCAGCTGTGACCACCTACCAAACTTCCCCGGCGGTCACAGCATACCACGGCTCTCCATCGGTCACCACGGTGCACGCTGATGGTCCGGCCGTAACTGCTTACCATGCTGCTCCGTCTATAGCTACCACAGTCCACGGTGCTCCATCGGTCACAACCTATCAAGGGGCTCCAGTCGGCACTTCAACGGTGTCTAAAGTCAGCAACTTAAACGCGTATCACGCTTACCCAGGCGAGTTCACTGTTCAGGGAGCACCCGGAGTTGTGCAGGGTGGTCCAGCCTTTGGTTTCGCACCTACTGGAGCCTACGGCTATGGAGTGAACACTCTTGGTTACGGTGTCGCCCCTGTCGGACCTGGAGATGGACATGGACTTGCCCGCTACGGTCTCAACTACGCCTATGGACTTGGCCCCATTGACTACAACACTCTTAGTCGCAAGAAGAAATGTAAGCAGTTTGACACTTCCGTGTTTGATATATCCATATATTCCCTAGAGCCCTTATGGCTATGGCACTGTAGTTAGCTTCGTCGGTGTTCATAACATATACTGACACACCGTTATTGAATGCTCTGCTTCAACGAGAGTTCACTCTGGGCATCCACAATTTTTAGTTGCAGCCACCTATTGTGGTAGGCTACGGAAATAGACTTAGGGCACGTTGCGTTATCTGACTACTTCGTGTAGATTCGCAGCGTCCTGTTCTATGTCATTATACCTCAGCTGTAGACACATATTCGTTACCTATCATGCTATCATGCGTGCTATCTATATAGCGTGGTGTAGACAATGTAAACGGCTATATTAAAGCGTAGCTCTTAGGCGCCCGTTTCCAGCTTGAGCGGCATCGCCGTCGCCGTCGCCGTCGCCGTCGGCGTAACCGCGCGGTACATTATCGGAAACGTCCCATAATGCACCGCGGTGACGTTTTGGCACCGTGCCGAAACGTCGCGTGACGACGCGCGTTTCGCTCGTCGAAGAAGCAGGAGGGGAGGAGAAGAGGGTACGGATCAGGAGGAGGGACATTCTATCCCCTCAGTACCCTTCCCTCCTCCTCCTCAAGAGCTGCGCTCTAAATCGGCGTTACAGGAAGTTGTAAAGGTCTTTCATTTTTTTAAAATTGATTTCCATCTCACAAGTTGTTTGAAGGCTATAAAAGGCACAAAACGGGTCTGTCGTTAACAAACGCTTTGTTTGCACGATCACTTTTGCAAGGAAGGTGCTTTGGAAATTTACGTTTTTTCTCCTTAGACCATTTATGCTGCAACAGATAACCGTAAGAGCAAAAGGAAATTGCGAAAATTTTGAGAAATAAAAAAAAATATTAGCTTCATACATTTTTAAAAAAAATAAACCAAAGGCTTGATATTATTATACCGAAATCGTGGATATGCTTTGAACTAAACTACATTTATTTGCATATCGTAAATCAGGTGGCATAAAGAAGGTAGCATAAAACGATTTTCGCCTGTGCCAACATTTCGTGCGATTTTCGATTGACATTTTTGCAAATACGTTTAGCCTTTTTAGGGGGTGCGACTATGCACACTATTACGGTCTCATAAGGAAAGAAGAAAAAATCCGTTAAATTAACGTAGCATGCACTTCAGCTGCTGTCGAGTTTTTCTTTTTGTTTTGCTTTTTGCTGCATGAGCGACGTAAAGCCGAAAAGCAGAAGCAGAATGATAGAATCACAAGGTGCCATGCTTGTTCAGGAAGTGGCGTGAGGCACTTGTATCGAAAATTTCTGCATTGTATGGCGGCACTTAATGATGCTGTGTGATTTTCGCTCGCTGTATGATCTTGAAAACATTTCCTCATGGTTCTTAGAGCCGGTGGTAAAAACACGCGTACATACTCTTGACTGCGGAACTCTCAGCTGAATTGGTCTCGAACGTTCTCAAAACTCCATGATGTTTAGTACTGAACTGTTCAAAAGATACCTAACAAAACCACTTAAATACAAAAAGACACGGCCGAAAAAAAAAAAAAAAAAAACTATAATTGCTAAAATGGCTTTTATTTCAACACTCTATTGTTACCAGGCTCTCCACATATATCTTGTTCAATATCGGTGTCGCTTTGTATAATAGCTGTCTTTCTGATGTAGCATGGTTGGGTCAGGTCTAGTTCGGAATAACCAAAGTAATATCGTTCTACATGGTATAGCTGTGAGACGTACGCTTGAGGTGTTAGATTTCTAACTAATATTTCTAATTACGTTTATTGGATCTTGGTTGCATCGTGAAGGCGACACCAAGCCCAACTACTCTGCTTCGCACCATATTGTTTTTTCTGCAATATTTTTAATAAAGACAATATATACAAGTCCACATGTAAGGAGCATATAAGTTCACTACAAGCGTATACACTGGAGCGTGAGTACATGGCGTAGTTACAATATTTAAAAAAAGAAAAAAAAATAATTGTTCAGGTACTTTATGAGACTGCGTTGTACGACGTTTGTAGAGTTCTTGCAGGCTGTTGTTAAGTAACTGTCTGTTTCATTTTTGTTTATTTGCAGAAAACGAAAAAATAACCACGTAAGGGCTCAGGTCACATCGTTTTGTCACCCTCGAGAGTGGTATGAGCCGAGCCATCAGCCAATCCTGGACAAGAACAGGACTCAGGATTCGACTGTCAACTGTATTATAGCCACTGCCATCACAAGTTGTTTGTTGGATGATAATAATAAAAAACATATTCTCGTAAAAGTAGTATCCTGCCTTATTATTCGAAGGATCTGCATTTTACGTACGACGGCCGACTGAAAAGTAATAAGTCCGATTTTTTTTCTTTAAATTCGGGATTGCGTTACTCTACAGGCTTTGACTTTTTTTTTCATTTTCAAAGTAGCGTTATTCACTTTAATATATTTGTACAACTATTCAAACAAGAATCTAAATAAAGCGAAAAATAGTAAAAAGTAAATTCTTTGCGATATTACTTTCAACGTCGTATCCGCGCCTTTGTTCGCTTCATCGCATAGTTAGAGAACTTCCTTCCGTAGAATTATTTTTATTTTTCAGTGTTTAAAAAGCCCGAAGTTCACACGGCGATAATTTTTGGGCGTTACGAAGAGCGTTACAGAGCAGTTGCTACCCTTGATGGATTAACTCGAAATTCAATCAAGCATCTCCGCTATCGCCAGCACATCATCGTCGTCCGCCATGATAACACGTCTGAGGTGCCTTCGTTCGTTGCGACAGAACGCCCAATACTATGATGGTCCAACTGTGGGTTCAGACATATGGGTACATTATCTTCACAAACATCGGCCTCCTTGCAAAAAAAAACAATAAAAAAATAGAAGCAGCCTTATTACCTTTTAATCAGCCCTGGTGCTGATGTATACATTATACGCTGCTGAACAGTGCGGTAAAAGTGGAGCAACACTTTCCCCACAAGTATTGTGCTTGACAGCACATGTAGTGAAAGGTTAGGCTTAAAAATCAACTGTTATGAGTTCCCTTCACAGCGCTGCCAGTCTCGAAAAAACAGTGATATGGGTTCTATTGACTGCTGTACAATCTCCACCAATGTCGTGCATAGAAGGATGCGCCTGAGTTCCAAATGGCGGCGCATTGCCGGCGACCACCACGGACGAGTGGGAGTGCAATTTTGAATTGTGAGGAAGGCAATAAACGCGTAGAGGCGGAAGACCTAGCCTGAAAAAGGGCTTGAAGGAAACCTGTGACATCACAAAACGCTTCTGCAAGACGTCAAAAAGCGTAAATCTCTTCCAGGCAATATTTAGGATCTATTTCCTAGATATTAAGAAGCAACGTGAGGGACGGCCCTATTCTATTGCCACGAACTTAATTATGCCAATTCCCAAAACAAGAAGAAGAAAAGCACTGTAATTTTATATGACACGCACGCAAAACACGTCACGATTATTGTTAACCGAATCACGCATTGCGCTACTTCCAGCTCGCCGTTCAGCTTATTGAGAGGCTGTACGCTCATTACACGCTCAAGCACGAGGAGGGCTTTAGGATGCTTGAGACCTGGTATAAAAACTCATCCAATATCTGATAACAAAGCGCCGGCATTAGAGCCCTCACAGCGGCCATATAAAGTACGCTACAAACCCCCCCCCCCCCCTCCCCTTCTCCGGGGCTGTGGTGTCCATTGCTGTCGCTTGTCAGCTGCTTTGGCGACTTGCCTAACGGAAAACAGAAAAAAAATAGAATTTCATTGGACTGCGACACAACTGAACGGCTACGCAATAGTCGCGTCTATACCTCAGACAGCCGCACTGAAAATTGTATACTTGTAGTTAACTTCACCTGTGATGTTCTACGTCGTAGTATGCTAACACCCACGAGCCGCCTCTTTCGACAGAAATATCCCATGACGCGAATGGACGAGTGAGTACCGTCGCTGCGTTAAAGCACGAAGGGCACGTGTGCCCCTGCGTTCAGCACAGCATTCGAGTGATTAGGAAGGTTTAGTGGGAAGCTACCGTAATACCGTTAGAGCTACCGTAGTGCCGTAACCAGCCACGAAATGCAAACGACATCATGACCCCACAAGTTGTCACCATCGTTTTTATTTTCCCAGCGAGTTCGATGCTTAGGATGACAGTTGGCTTAAACGTTTTCTTTGAGGTACTATCTCGGCAATATAAATTATTCATTTTCCGAGGCAGTTTAGGCGGCGGTACTCAGCACACTTCAGTCAGAGGTACTTTATTTTTAGATGGATAATAACAGAAATTTTCATTTATTCACCTCAACCTACACATCCTGGACCTGCCTCAAGCTATTTCAGCACAGTCGCCTAACACTGCCTCGGCGGATGGTTCTTTCATATTGTTAAAAAGTGTAAGTTATCATTCCAGTTCCAGCATGGCGGCAACGGTAGCGGTATTACGATAACGCTATCTTACAACAGTATCTTCTCGACCGAATCGCGCAGACGCAGTTGGGACTGCGTTAGTACAACAGAGAACGTTGCGAAGACGCAGCAAACCGATTTGTCTCTACCGAGTAATTTCTACATTAGACCGCTGCCGTTTACTCAAGTGATCAAATAAATCAAAACAAACCGGCGTTAACAAAAAATAGGACAACATGAATGGAACGCGGCCGACGTCTCCCATTGCGTATCCTGGTCCAGTTGCACGGTGAGTCGTTGATAAATGGATCATACTTACGAATCTCAATAGCCACAGGAGTCTTCTTGCCGATCTCAAGGTCGTCCCGCGCTTCTCCCGCTGTGCGAAGAAAGCTACCCTCCACTTAAATCGCCTCTCACTTGCAGTCGGGACACGTCCCACTCTTCTTTTTTTTTTTTTGCGAAGCGGAAAGGGCTTTGGTCACCGGTATTCTCGTTAAAATATTCTACAAAGGCAAAACCAAACAAAATAGGTCGTATTGAACCATAGAGCACCGATAGGACAAATGCACAGATGTTTGCTGGGCTTATCCCGAGAAGTGAATTTCTTCTTCACTTCCATTTTCTCTTACTTCTTATGAGGCGTTTGCTAACTTGTGTCCAACGCACACACACTCGAGTGGAAGAGAAAATTGCAGGGCAAATTTCCCTGCAACTATGTTGTTACGGGAAACGTTCTTGCTTTAGCGCTAGTGATGCTAAACCACTCGCGCTAAACAAATGTTTAGTGGAGTAAGTGGTGAGTTAGAGGTAGTTAGAGTTAGAGTTAGAGTTAGTTAGGGTTTGTGGTGCTAACTTCACTAACTTGCGGTTACTCTTTTTGTGACTTCACTTAATCTGAAAACCTAGCCCATAAAATAAAACATATCCGAAAGTCGTGAACCCTTTTGAGTGTCTGAGAACCGCGGGTTAAAAGTTAAATGCAGAGTTCGTGGATGACAAAGAATCTGTTTTTGTGGTGCATAGCTTTTCCTACCTACGCGATGTTTACCGAGTGCTATTTGAGTCTCAGAAAAGAATGAAAGAGGTTGTATAAATAAGCCAATAAACTGAGTGCAATAGAATTTAAAAAAAAGAAGTTTTTATTTGGTACATTTATCATAGTTAAATTTAATAGGCATAGATTAAAAAATCTACGCTTATTAAAGTGTGTGTGTTGTTTTCCTATGCAACGATGAGAAAAACGGTCATGCGCAGATGTCACAATGTAAAACCAAACCGTGAAGGCTTCTTTGAGAAGAACATTCGAAAGCAGATCCAGCAGACCCGAGTGTGTGTCGTACCCACCTGTGAACATGCAGCAGCGCGTCAACCAGATTGTTTTTAGCATTTTCCTCCCCGTGCATAAAAAAAAAAAAAAAATAAACATGATTTTTAGGGTTAAAATTTTTTCTCTGAAGCCCTGACTGACAAAAATTGATTATAATATATGCACCACTATAGACACCTTCCTGAAAAAGTCTCCGTTCTTTGGTTTATTTATACGACTTTTTTTTTGCCTGCATAACGCTCATAAAATGTATAAAATTTAAATGCGCAAACAGAAACGAGGGCAAAAAAGGAAGGCAAACAGGACGAGCGCTTACTCTCAACTGAAAATGTATTTAAAAGAAAAGAAAAGCTAAAGCAAACAACCCCCGATAAGAAATACACTGAATCACTCAGTGACTTCACTTCATCACCACACGTCAGTAAAATCACTCTCCTTTTGATGCAGAAAAATTGACGGCTGGCTGACGCAGCCTTCAGTGCCCTCTTCCTTTATAGCATGCGCTTCAAGCGCTCGACGGCGCTTACGCACCGTCAATCTTGCCAAAATATTTGTAGATTGTAAGGTGGGCGTGGTGGACACAATACCGCTGACATGCGGTAGGGTGTACATCGGGCAGACAGGACGGTGCGTAAATGAGACGATGCGTGAGCATGACCCGGCTTTGCGCTCAACACCTGGAGGACAGTTGCCTCTTCATTGCAGAAACTCTCTGTGCAAGCCCAGCTTTCAAAATACCACGATCGTGGGCAGGGCCCGTTAAAAAGCTGCGAGGGAAGTGCTTGAAGCGCATGCTATAAAGAAAGAGGGCACTGAAGCCAGCCATCAATTTTTGTTTGCATCGAAAAGAGTGATTTTATTGACGCGTGGTGATGAGTGACGCCACTGAGTGATTCAGCGTATTGTTCTTGGAGGTGTTTGCTTTAGCTGTTTTCAAATAAATGTTTAGTTGAGAGTAAGCGCTCGTCCTGTTTGCAAGCCTTCCTTTTTTGGCCTCGTCTTTGTTAGCGCTTTTAAATTGTATAAGTCATGGAGCCAACTCGCCCGCTTCGCCACTTTAGCTCAAAAAACGCCCTGTACAAGCACTGTCTTTGTAAATTACGATCGTTCTTCTTTTCATCACGCGTAATTTGGTGTGCCGCCGGGTAGTACCGACCCGCTTTTGTTCAGCCTGTATCTATGATGCCGACACGCGCGAGCAAACGCGTTTCATTTCATTTCATTTCATTTATTGAACCTTAAGGGCCCGTGAGGGCATTACATAAGGGGGGGATCATTCATATTATACATTGGAAAAACAGACAAAAAATAATACATTCAGGAAAAGGTTGGTAAACAGTTAACAACATAAAAAGTGCGATTGAAGACTTGATTTAAAGGCGTTTGGTTCTACGATGGTGACGATGGAGGATGGGAGGCTGTTCCAGTCTTTGATAGCTTGTGGGAGAAAAGATCGGTTGAAAGCGTTTGTTGAGCCAGAGATCCTTTTGATGGTACAGTCATTGTTGAGGCGAGATGATGTTCGATCGGGAGGTGATAATA